AGGCATTTAATGAGCTGAGAGGCACAGAAGAACATTATGATGATCACAGTACCTTGACAGACTGGGACTGGTGCTGTCCACTGTCCCAAACCAGTACACCGAGTTATGTCAGCTCCTCTCAGCATGAAGCCCTCGGCGCAGCGGAAGCTACAGGTGGCGTTGTACTGAAGTGCTGTTGAGGACAAGGAGCAGTCCACGCTTCCGTGGATGGGACTCTCCAGTGGCTCACACGAAATGGCTAAATGGAAAAAGTTATCTTCTGAAACGGGGTAATGGAAGGGCCTAGTTCTTTCTCAGAAAAAAACTCCTGGGGAAACTACATCTTTCTTATCCACAGTGTCAGGATGTTCAGAACCCTAAATCCTCTCTTTTCCAAAATGGAAACTGCCTGGAACACCCTCACCTGCCCTTCAGGTCACAGCTTAGACTCCACATTCCTCAGGGATCCCTCCCTTGCCACCCAACGCAGGGGTCAGGGCACCTCCAGTGTGCTCCCCCAGCCTCTGTTCTTGCGCGGTTCATAAGTGACCACACCCTCACCTGCCCTTCAGGTCACAGCTTAGACTCCACATTCCTCAGGGATCCCTCCCTTCCCACCCAACGCAGGGGTCAGGGCACCTCCAGTGTGCTCCCCCAGCCTCTGTTCTTGCGCGGTTCATAAGTGACCGTAATTCTTCCCCATTGCACCACAGTCTCTTTGAGGCTGAGGTGTATTCCAGAGCAGAGCAGTCTTCTGTACAACAAAGGTACTCATTAAATATTTATTGGCATTATCTGTGGAACTGGATCTGAAAAGAGTAGATAGAGGAAACAGCTGGACTTACAGTGAAAAAGCTAGAATAGCACAGCTTGTTGTCAACACTATCACCTAGCCCTGTAAAGTGTTCTCAGATGGGCTTTGTCTCTGGAATACAGGATATCATCCTAATTGGACTTCAATTGCCAAGTGAGTGCAGCCCGAGGTGAGTTCCTGAGCACAATTAAGCCCTGAGTGACCTCGGTTCTCATAAAGATGGGTTTCCTGATGCTTTTCCTTGATAAACCATTTCATCTCCAGACTATTCCTGGGGTTTTGCAGAGCATAAAGACTACCCTTTCGCTTCTGGGCTTTGAGCTCTGGTTTCTACAGAATCAGAGCATTTAAGAACCAAAGATCCTCTAGTGCTTCTTTCTTACTTTCCAGATGAGAAAAGTGAGGTTCAGAAATGTCAAGTGATTTCCTTAGAGTCTCATTGCTGGACAGTAGTAGAGCCAGGCTCAAAATCTAGGTCTGAAAACTCACTAATCCACTTGTAATGTCCTACTGCCCTGCCCCAACCCCTGCCTTACGAGCTGAGGGTGTGAGGCAATTGCACAGAAGTCAGCTTTGTGCTATTATGTAACTGCCCAGGATTGCGTCACACGCTCTTTCAATGCACTGTTCCTTTGATCCTCTGTCAAAGGCTACCTCCAAAGGTTGCATGGAGAATATCTCTTTATCCTGACAGCCACTTCTCTGACACCCTCTGAAGTATAGGACATTGTTCTACAGCTTGGATATGCCAGTGGGGCAGGAAGGGGATAAAAAGCTGAAGCTAAAGTTGATCAAGTGCCCAGCTCTATGCCAGGTACTTTATACATGCTATGTAATTGTATACTTTTAATATACTTAATCCTCACAAAAGCACATTGCAATTCTTAGCTCCATTTCACAGATGAGAAAAACATGGCTCCCAGAGGTTGAACACTTGCTCCAGTGTCAGAGCCTAGAGGAGGTCACCCTGACACAAAGAGCCCTTGGTTGTGTGCCACGACTCCTACTTGGGTGGGTGGACTGGGGCTGCTAAAGGAAAATCCTACCCTCACAGGTGGGCAAAGGTGCGGTCCACTGGCCAGAGCGACTGCAGTGAAGTGTGTCAAAGCCCTTCACTCGATAGCCAGGTTGGCACTCAAATTTACAGCTGGAGCCATATGCAAAGGCAGCAAGCGGATGAACACAGTCAACGGATCCTTTGCCGGGGGCTTCCAGGTGCTGACACTGCACAGCTGGAGAGAACAACCGAAGATTAAGAAAGAGAAAGGTACTGAGGAAGGAGGAAAACCACACCCACAGATGAGGAGCAACGGAGGAGCTGGGAAGATGTTAACGTCGGGAGACCCTTATGATGCTTGTCCAGACTTGGAATGCCTGTCTTCAGGGTGACGTGAAACTCTTAAAAATACAAATTCCTGCAAGATCCATTCTTAATGTCCTCTGTTCCCTATACCTCTATGATCCTGTCCCAGCAGTCTTCTAGTGTCTACTTACAGATGTAGATGCCACCCGTTCCCCTCATATGTGAAATTAATAAATGAGGACATTCTGAAACTGCTTGTGGGTTACGAGTTTGGGGGAAGGGAGGACTTTTTAATTTTGTTTGTAGAAAAATCAGTCTCTTGTTTTTCTAGAGTCTGATACACATCTCCCGTCCAGATGTATCCAATTTAGCTGAGTGGCAGGTGGAAGGAGAGTTAAATTTTGGCAATTCAGGCCAGCTTCTCCATAAACTAAGTTTTATCTATACTCCAGGAAGGACTGGGTGCAGGAGACCCAGTCCACGTATACATCCCCAGCTGCTGGAAACTCACAATTACACACTGGAGCTGGGGCTGTCCACACCCCAAATGCTGTGCAATGCACTACCACTGGCCAGACTAATGCAAATCCCTCTTCACAACTGAAGGGACAGCTAAACTGGTGCTGGAATGCTTTTGCAGAGGGAAGACAGACCATGCTCCCTTAATCAAGAGTCTTCAGGGACAGGCACTGGGCAGCTAAAAACAACCCTAGAACAATGGTGTGAGTCCTTATGCAAATTATGTCCAGCATCTTGGAAGGTTTAGAATTCTGCAACAGCTCTACCTTCCCAAAGAGGCAGGCGAGTTGATGCTCTTGAATGGTTAAATGATACTTTCAATAGCTGTTTGGAAAGATTCAAACACCCTTATTTTTTCATTTAAAGAAGCAAGTAAAATTACCAAATTAATATTACTCAGCTCTTAAGTCCTCATCATTACACTCTGTTTACTTTGTAATTAACAAGGGAAAAGGGGTGACTTTGTAATGTTTTTGCCTGAGAATGAAGAATTAAACTGACTACCTCACGCTACAGATGCAAAATACCATGAAAATCAAAATTAGTTGGTTGACAGGTAACAGTGATACCAGAACTTTCCATCTAATGTAGATCCTCATTATTTCTCACGTTTTTAATGGAGAAAGCCCAACATTATAGTTGTCAATGAGGACAACAAGAACAAGGTTGACACACCTACACACTGTGGGGCCTTCTTCGTCCAGATTCCAGAAGCCAAACACTCCAGCTCGCTGGGTCCATGCAGTCGGTACCCTTCAGTGCAGTGGAAACTGCACTTTGAGTTGAAAGAGAAGTTTCCCAGGGGGTGGCTGCAGTTCACCAGCATGTGTTGAGGGAGATCAAATTCTCCACACTCTCTGACTGTGGGGTACAAACAATATCAATGTTTTTCATGGTAGACTTAAAAACAATGCTAGATTTGCTGAAAGCTGGAACTATATGTGTAATCCTCTTACCTCTGTCTTTCTAAGCTTCTAACCCAAGCTGTCCATCCTTACTTAGCTGTTTTGTATTGCCTGCATCTTGATAAATAATCATTCTTTCACTGTTTTTTATTTCAAACCAGTAAGATTAACCCGAAAGGTTAATTTTTGTTTAACCTTTGTTTTGCTTCCTTTACGTTTCCCTTTTCCTTTTTGAAGTTTTATGAATGAATGTTCTCTCCTAGAATAAAATGTTTTACCCAGAGTGTGTGCCCAGAGACAATTTGAGTGGAGCAGACAAGCAGATGATAGAGGGGCCTCAGACTAGCCTTCACTCACTGCAGAGTCTCCATTGTGATTTACTTCCTGGCATCATCTCTAGCACCAGGCCAATGACTAAAGTAATATCAACAAAATAGAAGCCTCACCATATTTACATTCTGGCCCATAGAACCCAGGGTAGCAGGAGCAGGTGTAGTTCCCGATGGTCTCGATGCACTCCCCTTGTTCGCTGCAAGACATCTCCTGGCAGGAGGCTGCATGGAAACAGAAGGATCACCCAGGGTAGCAGGAGCAGGTGTAGTTCCCGATGGTCTCGATGCACTCCCCTTGTTCGCTGCAGGACATCTCCTGGCAGGAGGCTGCATGGAAACAGAAGGATCATATTCAGGGAAAATCACAGGAGATGGGAAGAAAAGCTCGATTCTTGTTCTGAGCCACAGACTCAGCCCCTCTCAGGTAGAACCGAGCTAGCCAGACAACAGAGAACCACAGTGTGGTCTGGAGAGCCAACCGGTTCTCTGTGAAAGGCATGGCAGGAGTCTGCTGGAGCACTGAACGGTCCCATTTTATGCAGCATTTAGTGTTTCCTATAGAGGGAATTGCTATGTGTGGACACAGAGGGACAAATGCAGCCATCGAAAGATGCTTGGACAGAGAAATTCCTCTGTGTGGTACAAAATGGGGTGTGGTTTTCTAACTAAGAATATTTATAGACTTGTATTATTTTGGAAGCCCCCATGACAGACATTACAGCATGGAGGTTAGGAACCAGACTGGGTGGGGGCGGGGACAGGGTAACACATCCATGGTCTAAATCCTGGCTCTGCTGCCGACTTGATGTTTGACCTCAGACTTTAGGGTCAGATCCCTTCCACCTTTTGTTTGCTTCAAATTCATGCCCAGTACCATATGGTGGAGGAGCAGAGGAGCCAGAGGAGATATTAAAGACCTACTCACGGCAAAGGACAAACAATTCTATGAGGGGATGTTTCATGCATCTGAATATGCCAGGCAAAGTAGGCACAGACCATGGCCAACCTGCCGGGCTCTCTTCACCAAGTCTGTGCCACTTAGGTGACAGAATAGAGATGGGCCAGGGTTTTTCTTTTTTTTGGTTTATTTATTTTTTTTCCCTGAGTGTTTGCACTTGGTGGAGGATTAGTATTAGAATTAATACTGTGACAGCACTGAGAATGTTTTTATTGATGAGGTCACAGCTGGGGACAAGGTCTGTGGCTGAACTATTTTCTGATGGTCATTAATAAATGCTTAATTAATAAATGCATTAATAAATGCTTTAAAAAAGAAACGGGTAAGTTTCAGAGTAGAGAAGGCCCTACCTGTATAGCACAGGGCCCGC